GGGGCAAATGTGTATTTGGAAATCTGTATTTCCCTATTCTAGAAATAGGAGTTTTCAGGTAGCGGGGGTCTGTGTTTTACAGACCAGAAATGATAAGTGGTGAGGTATGAAATGGGTATTACTGGCATTAAGTGAATACTGTGATGTGTATCCTTAACAGCTTCAATAGCTGTTAAATTACTTTTAGTTTTTATCTTTATTCAAATGGTGTAGTTTCATGTAATATAGAGCCCTAGTCACTGGAAGTGGGACTTAGAGGGACCGCTCTGCAGAGGATTTTCAGTTCTTTTTCTTTTAAGCTGTGCTACTGACTGTGCCATATATGGGAAGATGCCTTCTACTTGAGGGTTTAGTGGTCTTTTTTTCTTACTAATTATTATTCTCATATGAGCCTTCCATGCCTTCAGCTTTTCTGAAAACAGTCTTTATTTGGATGTAGAAATACAGGTTTAACTACGTTATCTTCACTATTGTACTGAAAAACCTCAGCTCAGTTTCATAAGGTGTGTATTCCGAGAATTGGGCTTTCGGTGTTCCTGGCTACTCTGCTGTCATCTACATTACACATGGTGTGATTTCTTGACTGGATAGGACACTGCGTGCATACTACTTCTTGGAGGCATGTAGAGCTTTGTAGGTCCAGTCTGCTCTTGCGGCCAGGGAGGCAACCAGCCTCTCCCAGGCTGCACCAGAAACAGCGTCACGTCACCTGCAGGTCGAGGGTGTGATCCTTCCCCTCTCCTTAGCACTGGGGAGGCCAATTCTGGAGTGCTGGGTCCAGTTCTGGGCTCCCCAGTATGAGAGGGAGATGGACATAGTGGAGCGAGTCCAGTCAAAAGGTGGAGTCTGTGAAGTGAAGCTGCTGAAGGGCTTGGAGCACGCGAGCTATGTGGAGAGGCTGAGAGAAGGCTCAGGGGCATCTCACCCATGTGTATACATACCTGGGCAGGTGGGAGAGTGAAGATGGAGCCAGGATCTTCTCAGTGGTGCCCAGGGGCAGGCCAAGAGACAACGGGCACAACCTGAAATGCAGGAAATTCCATTTAAACGTAAGGGAAAAAAATTTTATCCCGGGTCAGACGCTGGAGCAGGTTGTAGTTTTCCTGTCCTCGGAGGTGTTCAAAACTGGACACATCCTTGAGCATCCTGCTGGCTGACCCTGCTCTGAGTCGGGGCTTGCACTGGAGGAGCTGCCTGTGGTGGGTTGACCTTGGCTGGATGCCATTGCCCAGCAAGGTGCTCTAGCACTCCCCTCCTCAGCTGGACAGGGGAGAGAAAATACAACAAAAGGCTTGTGGGTCAAGATAAGGACAGGGTCATCACTCAGCAATTACTGTAATGGGCAAAACAGACTCAACTAAGGAAAATTAATTTATTGCCAATCAAATTGGAGTAGGGCAATGAGAAATAAAACCAAATCTTAAAACACGTTTCCCTCACCCCTCCCTTCTTCCCGGGATCAACTTCACTCCCCAATTTTCTCTACCTCTTCCCCCTGAGCGACACAGGGGAACGGGGGTGTCAGTCAATTCATCATATGTTGTCTCTGCTGCTTCTTCCTACTCAGGGGGAGGACTTCTCACACTCTTCCCCTGCTCCAGAGTGGGTGCCCCCCAGGGGAGACAGTCCTTCACGAACTTCTCCAGCGTGAGTCCTTCCCACAGGCTGCAGTTCTTCATGAACTGCTCCAGCGTGGGTCCCTTCCACGGGATGCAGTCCTTCAGGAACAGACTGCTCCAGCGCGGATCCGTCATGGGGTCACAAGTCCTGTCAGCAAACCTGCTCCAGCGTGGGCTCCTCTCTCCGTGGGTCCCCAGGTCCTGCCGGGACCCTGCTTCAGCGCTGTCTCTCCATTGGATGACAGCCTCCTTTGGGCATCCACCTGCTCTGTTGTGGGGTTCTCAACAGTCTGCAGGTAGATATCTGCTCCACCGTTAACTCCATGGGCTGCAGGGGGACGGCCTGCCTCACCACGGGCTGCAGGGGAATCTCTGCTCCAGTGCCTGGTGTCTGCAGCGTTTCTCTCAGGTATTCTCACTCCTCTCTCCACCGCTGTTGTGCAGCAGGTTTTTTTCTCCTTCTTAAATGTGTTATCCCAGAGGTGTTACCACCATCGCTGATGGGCTCAGGCTTGGCCAGCGGTGGATCCATCCTGGAGCTGGCTGGCATTGGCTCTGCGGGACGTAGGGGAAGCTTCTAGCAGCTTCTCACAGAAGCCACCCCTGTAGCCCCCCTGCCACACAAACCAAATACAGTCCCCCAGGGCCCCTTCCAGCCTCGTCTGTCCTATCGTTGTGTGTAATGAGAGAGAGTAGTGAATTGAGAGAAACTCCGGGGAGTTCACGTACGGCCAGCAGAGAGTGTAGTGCTTGGAGAAGGGATCTGGAAAGCAGTAAAGCTGGAAGAAGCAGTAGATAACTTCTGGAGAGGAAGGGGACAACATTCATGAGCCGCTGGTGCGGTTGTCAGAGGTAAAGTAGCTCCTATTGGTACAGAAGAAAAACACAAACTGGTCAACTTTTTACTACAAACCTGAGAAGGCTGGTGGTAGGGAGGACTGTAGCCTCTGCTCAGAGGGGTTTAAAATACTGCTGGAATTGTCCTCCCTGCCGTTTCTCTTTCTCTCCCCTGCTAATTGGTTTCTTAAACTTCAGAAACAGAACTTGGCCAGCAGCTGAAAATTGGAGTGTGTTTTTTTCACACTGATAATGCTTTATCAAATAAATGTTGAATGCCCATCTGTTGCTTTTAAGTAGGAACTGGAACTGGAGTTGCATCTGGGCAAGGAGTACTGCTGGAGGAGCAGTCATGTCTCCAAGCTTCAATTGCCCCTGACCCAAAGCCTTTACAGCCAAAAGCTTTTCTGATATTGAGGGAGTGGGTGGGTGGTTTCTGTGGAGGTGTTTGCATTTTGAGTTTTCTTTTTTAAGTTAAATTGAGAATCGGGTGAATGTTACCACCTCAAAAGTGGATACAACTCTACGTTTTGCTTTTTCTTTCTGAAAGACTCCATCCTCACACCTGGTTGTGTCTGTGATTTCAAGGGGTCATACTGAGTGACAGCCTGGAAGGCTGATACCTGCTGTGCACACTCGCGGCTGTAACGTGCTGCCTGAAGAACAGATCTCAAGGGTGCTCCCTAACTTGCTTTTCCAGGATTTTCACCTTGGGTTGACAACTGGAGGCATCTTCTCATTCTGAAGTTATTTAGCAACCTTCAGGTTTTCTCTTTGTTACAGCCAAAGTGGGCTGACTTTAAACTGGGGTATGTCCCTCTCATTAATGATGGTTTTGTTTGGTTTTGTTTGTTTTGGTTTGTTTTTTTACTGTTATCCCGTATTTGCCATATAGAGACGACACTAAGTAAAAAAAGTTCCTAAATTTCTTGTTCTTGAATTTGCTTATTTGGCGACCGTCAGCCACAGCGATGTGAAGTTGGACTGCTTCACCTGGAAGCTGTGATATATGGGCAAGCAGTGCCAAGGCCTCTGTGCTGCCAGGCGTGCGGGCTGGTGCTGGAATGGTGCCAACATAAAGGATGAGACACCTTTCCTTATGGCTTGGAGTTGAAGGACAGCTGCTGTCTTCTGTGGCCCCAGCCTGACTGCATTTGTTGTGGGTGAGATGGGGCTGATAAAATTGACTTGCTGGAGCCATTCTGCTGGTGTGCTCTGGTTGCATCTTGTGATGGCTTAAGAAGCTGTGGTTAACAGCAGGGGGAAGAGTGAATGGGGAGTTGAAGGGCAGAAAGGCTTTCCAGTGGACTTCTTGGGGTCTCAAGGTGGAGAAGTTCTCATTGCACTGGGGGAGAGAGGAGGTGGCCCACGCCGTGAAGAGCTGGTTTAAGGTAAGGAGGGGATGAAGGGAGCAAATGGTGCACAGGTGAAGAGGGAAGAACAGATTAAGAACACGTGAGAAGGACAGGAGGGGATGAGACAGGCTGAGACCTGCTGACAGCCAGCGGGGCGCTTCACCCGTGACTTTAGCAGCGAGACACCACGTTTTCCCCACGCGTGGGTACGAGGGCAGGACACGGGGACTGGTCTGGGGCCGGGCCAAAAAACACTGGGAGCCATTTACATTCAGAAAGCATAGAGCAGAACTGCTCCCTAACTTTCCAGCGCTTCTGGAGGTCACTTTTCATTTCTTCATATCAAAGGCAGACACTTGTTTCTAATAAGGTAACAACTCTCCTGAGAAACATGGGTGGCTGGTATTTCATTGTTTCATAAATATTTTTATACTGTAACACCATTCAACTTAAAACAGATTTCGAGAGGAGAAAAATCACGACTAGGATTACGTTCAACTGAGGTAGGTGCACAAAGTTTCTTTACTCTGTAAAAATAGAGAAATTTCCTCCCCCCTCCCTTTCCCCCTGCTTTATTTCTCCTCGTCGGTTTTGTTTAGTCGTTTGGAGGGGGCCGCTTTGTTTTAATTTTGTTACAAAAGCCGTACTGTATAACTTTTTCCCTCCCCCTCAGAAGTGCACTTCCTTTGAAAACGCTCCTTGTGCGAACAAAGGCTGCCACCGGCCCTCCGCATCAGCACTGAGGACATCTGTAGAATACATCTCTTTAAAAACGTTACGGATAAATAAATAAATAAAAAAAAAAAAAACCAACCACCAACCCAAAGCAGAACCCACCCAGTCTGCGAGCAGCCCACACCAGCCCCTCAGCTCTGCTGGGACTGCAGGGAAGAGCTGGATCGGGGCAAAGATGAAGGATGGGAGCGGGGCTGAGCTCCTCGTCCTGAAGGATTTGGTGCGGGGGGAAGCGGGAGGAATCCGGAGCGATGCACAGATGGGTGTCCTCCCGTACCCCGGTTCCGCTGGAGGGAATCAATAAACGCGGCGGCCGTGCGTGGGGATGCGGAGGCGCCTGACCCACGGCAGAAAGAAGCCCTCGAGGTGCGGTCGCTCCTGCCGGTCGTCGTAGCTCCATGGGATTTCTTCTGCCCCCCGCGACTGACCTGATGTGGACCGAAGCGTTTCTAACATGAACTTTCTCTCTGGGATCTGGTGGTCTCTTCCCTTGGTCTTGGTCTGGGCGACCCCACCAGTCACCTCCTCATGGTGGTAAGTTGTGCAATTCCAGGAATTTTTATGTGCTCTTGGGGAAGGTGGGGTCGGATTAATTGTAAATTAGGGAGGTGGGGGGGTGGGGGGGGAAGCCTCTCCCTCGCAGGCTCGTACAAGCGGAGCTCGCTGCTGCCAACTGCCCCGGTCCAGAAATCCCGACCTTACAGCCAGCGGGGTCACACGGTCTCGGCATCTCCTTCCACACCCCGTCCCTGCTCCATGGCCTCCTCCTTCGCACAAGCACAGAGCAGCTCCCAGGGCTGAGCGGGGCTTTCGGCGGGGCTGTGGGACA